ATTAGTTCCTTTATATTTGTTATTAACTGTTTTATGTATTTGGGTGCTCCTATGTTTGGTGCATAAATATTTACATTGGTTATATCTTCTTGTTGGATTTCACTCTTTCTTATTATATCGTGTCTTTGTTTCTTGTTACAGTCTTTGTTTTAAAGTCTGTTTTTTCTGATATAAGTATTGCTACTTCAGCTTTTTTTTTTTTTTTTAAGATTTATTTATTTATTAGAGAGAGCGCAAGGCAGGGAGGGGCAGAGGGAGAGGGAGAGAGAAACTTCAGCAGACTCTGCTTTCAGCATGAAGCCTGAGGTGGGGCTCGATCTTATGACCCTGAGATCACAACCTGAGCTGAAACCAAGAGTTGGACTGACTGAGCCGCCCAAACACCCCTTAGCTTTCTTTATACATCCATTTGCATAATAGAGGTTTCTCCATCCCCTTACTTTCAATCTACAAGTGAGGTCTAAAATAAGTCTCTTGTAGGCAGCATATAGATGGGTCTTATTTTTTTTTCCATTCTGTCACCCTATATCTTTTGATTAGACCATTTAGTCCATTTACATTCAAAGTAATTTTGTTACTTATTTTGTGGTTATTTCTGAAGATTTTCTCTGATCCTTTCTTGCTGTTCTCTCATATTTTGCTGATTTTCCTTAGTGATATATTTGGATTTCTTTCTCTTTATTCTTGGCATGTTTATTAGTGGTTTTTTTAATTTTTATTTTTTAAATTTTTAAAAAGATTTTATTAATTTGACAGAGGGAGAGAAAGAGAGAGAGGGAGAGAGAGAGAGAGAGAGTAGCTGAGGGAGAGGGAGAAGCAGACTCCTTGTCGAGCAGGAAGCCTGACTTGGGACTCGATCCCAGGACCCTGGGATCATGACCTGAGCCAAAGGCAGACACCCAACCAACTGAGCCACCCAGGCACCCTATTAGTGTTTTTTGGTTTTGTTTTGTTTTAAGATTTATTTATTTATTGTTAGAGAGAGAGAGTGTGCGGTGGGGGGAGGGGGCATAGGGAGAGTGAGAGAGAGAACCACAAGCTGACTCTGCACTGAGTGCAGAGCTCAATGTGCGGCTCAATCTCACAACCCTGAGATCATGTCCTGAGCTGAAATCAAGAATTGGACACTTAACCAGCTAAGCCACCCAGGTGCCCCTGTTATGGTTATCATTAGGTTTGTATGTAAACTCTTCTTCAATAGCAGTTTATATTAAATTGATGGTCGTTTAAGTTTGAACCCATTCTTTTTTCCTCTCCTCTGTATATTTTAGGTATATATTATTATATCCCTTTTTGGTGAGTTCCTTGACTAATTTTATACAGAAATATTCATTTTTACTGCTTTTGTTTTTCCTACCTTTATACTGTCACTTTTGGTCTCTCCTTTAAAAAGAAAAAAAAAAAAAAGTATGTATTTAAGTAATCTCTGTATTCAATGTGGGGCTTGAACTCATGACCCCAAGATCAAGAGTCACATGCTGTAATGACTGAGCCAGCCGGGCAGCCCTGGTATCTCCTTTCTACTCACAGATCCCTCTTTAATATTTCTTGCAGGGCTGGTTTAGTGGTCACAGACTCCTTTAGTTTTTGTCTGGGAAAGCCTTAATCTGTCTACTCAGAATGACAGCCTTGCTGGATAAAGTATTCTGGGCTGCAGATATTTCCCATTCAGCACTTTCAATAGATCATGCCACTCCCTTCTGGCTTTCAAAGTTCTGTTGAAAAATCTACTAGCCTTATGGGTTTTCCCTTGTAAGATATTGACTTCTTTTGTCTTGCTGCTTTTAAGATTTTTTTTTCTTTAGCACCGTACTTGTGGGTCTGCTTTTGTTGATTTTGATGGGAGTTCTCTGTGCCTCCTGCATCTATCTGGGTATCTGTTTACTTTCCCAGATTAGGGAAGTTTTCAGCTATTATTTCTTCGAATAAATTTTTTGCCCCTTTTCTCTCTTCTTCTGGGACTCCTATAGTGCAAATATTAGTACATTTGATGGAGTCACTGAATTCCCTGTTCTTGTTTTGTGTAACTCTTTTTTCTCTCTTTTGTTCAGCTTGATTATGTTCCATTACTCTGTCTTCTGGGTCACTAATTCTGCTTCTTCCATCCCACTATTTATTCCATCAAATGTGTTTCTCATTTTGTTTATTGAGCCCTTTATCTCTGCTATGTTATTCCTTATCTCTGGGTAAATGTCTCACTCATGTCTTCCACTCTTTTCTCAAGTCCACTAAGTATCCTTAGGATCATTGCTTTAAATTCTCTATTAGGCATGTTAATTATATCTGTTTTGCTTAGATCTCTGGCCATGGATTTGTCTTGTTCTTTGATTTGGGATAAATTTCTGTCTCATTTTGTCTGCTTCTCTGCGTCTGTTTCTGCATGTTAAGAGAGTCAGCTAGGTCTTCTGTTTTTTTTTTTTAAGTAAGGGCTTGAACTCATGACCCTGAGCTGAGATCAGGAGTCCAACACTTAACTGACTGAGCCACCCAGGGACTACTTCATAAAGTAGTGACTTTATGAAGAGGAGGTCCCGGAGTGCCCTGCAGTGCAGTGTCCTGTTTATCAGAACTTGGCACTTTAGGACAGTATCCTGCGCATTTTGCTTACGCCCCCCTGTTGTGTCTGAGTCACTTTTCCTTTTAGTGCGGTCATCTGCACGGACTCTGCTGTAGGGGGCTGTGCTTGTTCTCTGTGGTGCCTGTGGGACCCAGGCAGGCCAGCTCTGAGGGGCATGCCTGCTGGGGAACTTGGCAGCGGGGCAGTAGCGTCGGCAAAATTTCTGTCGGGGCTCTAGTCCTACGCCGGATCCCCCAAAGCACTGTGGCAGCTGAGGGCTATGTGCTGGGGCCAAGGGGGGATGTGAGGTTGGGCGTGGGGCAGCAGCTGAGCAATTCACGCAGCGGCAGCTGTATACCGGGTGGCTCAGTAGGGTGTAAGCGCGGCTTTAACAAAATTTGCCCTGAGGCGGCGCTTGGTTGGCTCAGTCAGGGGAACACGTGACTCTTGGTCTCAGGTTGGGGAGTTTGAGCCCCACACTGGGTGTAGATTACTTAAAAAAATAAAAACTTTAAAAACAAACCAAAACTTGCGCTGAGCCCAGGGACGAGGCTGGCAGGCTTGGAGGAGGCAAGGGCTCTGGGTAACGGTACGTGTGGTGTTCTGGTAGCACGTCACGTAGCGGCGTCTGTGCAGCGCCACTTCCCGCAGGTGGCTCCGTTTATGCTGGGGGGTACGGGAGGAAAATGCGCCTGCCAGCTCCCGCATTTTTGAAGTCCCCTAACATACTCTGTGCTCAGTATGAACAGATCCGTCTCCTGTTCCCCCAGCATTGGCAAACTGCTGTTTTTATGTTGCCTCTGTAAGTAGGCTGCTCTTTAAGGGTGGAAACCCAGCAATCACTCGCCCAGGGCTGAGTCTGTTGACTTTTAAAGCTGCAGGCTCCAAGTCCCACTGGTTTTACAAACTCAAAGAATTCAGTCCCTCTGATTTTTCAAGCCAAACCTTATGGGGATTAACCTATCCCATGTGAGCTCCCTGATGCAAGGGCCCGTTTCTCTGCCCTCTCCGCACGCACAGCTGCCTCCCCTCCCGTGGGCAGCCTCCCTCTGCCTTTCTGACCTTCCTAAACTTTCAGATGCAGTTCCTTCTCTGTATTTAGTTGTGGAGTCTGTTCTGCTAGTCTTTGGATTGTGATCCTGTTTATTGACTTACAAACGTGGGATGGGGTGAGCCCAGGAGCCTCCTACTCCACCATCTTCCCAAGCTCCTGATAAGGTGTTTTTTTTTTTGTTGTTGCATATTTTGTATGAGCTAAACGGGGGTAAAATAAAGCAGCACTCCATTTATGGTTTTACTACCTTCTCAATTGAGGACTGTCAAGCACCAAAATACACTGCTTAGGTAGATGACAAATGGGCTATTGAGAATCTAAAATATTTCTTTATCATCATGCTATATATTCATGAAATATCCAAATAAGTAGACTGAACAAATATAAAGACAAATCTCCAAATACTGCTTCACCAATGCTACATTGACTCTGTTGAGTATTAGAAGGAAAAAAACCCCAATATTATTTTTCATGAAGTTTTTAATAAGCTATCATTTTCTTACATGTACACTAGTAAACTTAAAAAGACAAATATTTACTACCAAACGTTAAATACTGTACAATTTATAAAAAATATAATTTTAAGATTTTGAGTAATAAAGGGAAGAAACTTACTTCAAATGGATAAAATAAAATTCTACTTTTTAAGAAATTTAACTAGAAAATAAGACATTTCCCATTTGTCTAAGAGAACACTAAAAACTTTATGGAAGCCAGAGACCATACTATTTTTTTCAAGCTTTCATCTACATAGCTTTAAATAAGCCTTAAAATTTATTTTCCAGTACATGTAAGGTTGTTAAACAGAGTACATGACTGTGGGAATGACTATGCTAGCATGAGAAGTCATGAAGAACAAAGATATATCTTATTCATCTTTATATCTTCAGCTCCTAGCATAATGCCTAACAAAGTAATAATGTTTAAAAGCAATGCTTGTTGCTGAACCGGGAAAATATACATATCTACCTTTGGTCGAATTTTCATTCCATATTAAGCGGCTACATTTGAAGTACCTGAGTAGCAGTCCTGTTCTTTGGCCCTTGACCTTAAACTGAGTACGGTAAGCTAACACACATACACTTTCTCCATCAGCCTTCTGACAGGATCCTCAGAACTGAACCATCATGGGCCTGTGAATTTTCTCTTATGTTGTCTGATTCGTAGGTCTTGGGTAAGTTAATATCAGTGTGCAAAAAGTAATGCATTTTCAGTGCAGGATAAGAATGTGCTTTTGAGTAAGAATGGAATAAAGGCCTTGCTTTTCCATGTTTTAAATAACAGATACATAGCATCTTATATTATGTCACAATTAGCAATTTTTAGACACTGAACATAATACACTGTATTACAATGAAATGTGGTAGGCTTCCATTTTAGGAGCAAAAATAAGTTTCACATGAAAAAAGATTTATTTTAGATTCACATAAAATACATTTAGAATAAATCTAAATTTTTAGCATTTAAACAAACACAGAGGAACTTCAAGATGTACAGTCTCCATGCTGTCCAAAAAGCAAATACAAAAAGCTCTTTTTAAATTATTGATCATCACCTCGTTGCCTTAAATTTCTAGATTTTCCATTTTCAATTCTTCTCTTTTTAAAGACTGGGGCCACTCCATCTGCCATGACTCCAAGAGAAGTGACTGTTTTTTCTTTAAATATCACTTTGGGTTGCCCACCAGTATCAGGTTCTGAAGTTGATACATATTCATTTTCAGTGCTTGGAAGTTCCAAATCTACCTCCTCACTGAAACAGAAAGTAAAAATAAAACCATTATTTGACAGACTGAGACAAACTTTTACATAACCTCTGAGTCCAACAAAGGCCCAAGATCATCTTTCTAATGATAGTGAGAAGTTAAAAGTCATTTCATACTAGGAAATTACTTAAAGATAATCATTTTATAATATTATTTAAGATACAGAATACTTATTTAGGTGGATACATGTCTGGAAAAGTATCATCTAGTCTTTTATTCCTTCTGCACAGAGTACGAATCATTTAAGGCAATGTTTGTGCTTATACATGACTAGCAGTACAAGTTAAGGTGGTAAGTTATTTATGGAAACCCATCTTGCCATGAACTGTGACAAGGACTCTGGAGGCTTACACAGCACATGATGAAAACCATGGGATCCCACTGTCCTATGGTAGGAGACTCTACATGGCCTTTTGTCTAGTACTCTTTTTTTAAGAACTAGTCCTTCAAGCACCCACATGGTTAGTAAAAATAATCAGCTGACTAGTCTAGAGATTGCTACCTTATTAACATGAACCTATCATAGTACCCCACCCTCTATAGTCAGTTGGTCCCTGAAAGAGCAACTAAGTCATGCCACATCCATCATTTCTACCCCTGAACTTTTTGACATGGCCAAGAAAGATCATTATGTTTAATTCTGTAGTGGCTAAGAGTGTAAAATCTGTGGGGAACTACATCTCCTATGTAAAGGAATTCTGCAATGACTGAGAATACAGCTGCCTTACGAAGAAAAGTAGCAAAGGGGGGGAAGCAGACAGAGAATCCTGCCAATGTTTCATTGCTCCAGTAACTCCTGAGACTCAGCCGAATTTCTGCCCTTCCCACAGCTTGGTAGGTAGAACCTTCCTGAGAACCTCTGAATTAATAACCTCTTTTTTATTTAAGGTAACTTAAGTTTCTCTCACTTGAAACCAAAAGATTAGTCAGTATTTATTGTAGACTGACCATATAAACATGGGTTTATTTCTGGGTTCTCTACTCTATTCCATTGATCTATATGTCTATTTTTGTGCCAGTACCATACTGTTTTGATTACTACAGCTTTGTAGTAGGTCTTGAAATCTGGGGTTGTGCTATCTCCGGCTTTGTTCTTCTTCTTCAAGACTGCTTTGGCTATTCAGTCCATACAAATTTTAGTATTATTTGTTCGAGTTCTGTGTAAAATGCTGTTGGTATTTTGATAGGGATTACACTGTATCTGTAGTAGGTTGCTTTGGGTAGTATGGACATTTTAACAATATTATTTCTCCTAATCCATGAGCATGGAATATCTTTCCATTTGTTTGTGTTGGCTAGGACTTAACACTTAAATGCCTATTTGGTTCAATTATTTTAAAAGCACATGATAACAAATTTGCTTCCCTCTCAGAAAGACTATATAGAAAGATCTACAGCAATAGTACTGCAAGATCTTTTTATGTCCCATCCTACATATACATGAATAAAAACACAGGCTTAAAAAAGTAGGTTTATAGGCATAGTAATTACTTAAAAATAAAATTTTTTTAAAAAAAGTTATCTTAACCAACTGGTGGCTCAGTTGGTTAAGTGTCTGCCTTCAGCTCAAGTCATGATTCCTGAGTCCCTGGATCGAGCCCCGCGTCAGGCTCCCTGCTCAGTGGGGAGCCTGCTTCTCCCTCTGCCCCTCACCCTGCTCGTGCTCTCTCTCTCAAATAACAAATAAAATCTTAAGTAAAAGGTTATCTCTAAACCTAAGGTGGGGATCGAACTCACAATCTCAAGATCAAGAGTCACATGCGTTACCAACTGAGCCAGCCAGGCACACTCCTTTTTAAATGTAAAAATAGTTTGGAAATTTGCTAGGACTGCAAACAAAACAAAACAAAAACAGAATGTAAGTACAAAAATAACATTTCAAACTAGTTATGGGTAGTTCAAAACTAAAACAAAACTTCTGCATAATAAAACACTTGAGGAAGAACCTATCTTAGTAGATAATAATTCAATAAAAATTTCCTCAAAATCTGATGAGGGGATGCAGGAAATAGGGATTCTCCCTGGAACAGGTCTTAAGTCTGATTTGTTTTGAAAACATATGCCTCCCAAAACTTTTATTTACTGTATTAAAACTGCATGTTAAATGCAGTTTTTGTTTGCTTTTCCTACTTCCCTATTTTCTCTTAGACTGCTAACAATGGTGCTTTTCCTAAGAAGGCTAGTAGCCCCTGCAGCTGATGGGAGTATTAATTCTTGGCTTTTTATTCTTTTATTACAGGAGAGGAAACTGAGGTTTAAAGACGTTAAATAACTTGGTCAACCAAACTTATGGAAGTGGTGGAGCTTGGATTAAAATCCAGGTCTGTCTGACCTAAAATTTATATTCTTTCCCCTAGACCACTCTGCTTCCAAGTGAAAGTAAAATTTTACTAACCAAGGAGAGAAACATCTGAGGAATGAATAGTAGTAGGGTTGGTCACTGGAAAAATGAATCTATAGTCAAGAAATTTGATGTGAGATTCATGTATTTCACTTGAATCTTGATGCGTTATATTGTATTTTGATAAAGTGATCAAGCTGTAGTATTGCTTCTTTTTTTAAAAAAGATTTTATTTATTTATTTGACAGAGAACACAAGCAGGGGGAGTGGCAGGCAGAGGGAGAGGGAGAAGCAGGCTCCCCGCAGAGCAGGGAGTTGTTGTGGGGCTCATCCCAGGACCCTGGGACCATGACCTGAGCCAAAGGCAGACGCTAACCAACTGAGCCACCCAGGTGCCCTTGTAGTATTGTTTCTTAAGTGGGATTATAGGAAAGATAAAAAAAAGAAGTTTGTATTCAAAAGAAAAGGCAAGAGCCTGCAAGTAAACATCTTACAGAGAAATATCTTTTCAAATAACTTCGGAACAGTTACAAAAAATAATTACACAAGCACTTCCACAAAACCATAATCATTTCCAAATTCAAATGCAAGAACTGTAAAGGTTATAGTATCTGAACACAATGTAATAAAGGTAGAACAAACATCCCCCCCGCCATGTAGATTTAAAAATGTGAAAATAAAAGGAAACCTTTTAGAATGGAGTCAGGAGGCCGGCAGGGCAAGCTCTCACACCCTATCACTCCTCAATTCCAGACCCAAGAGGAAGAGAGGGACCTTGCACATGGATACTACTTTGCTATCCCAGCAGGAGGAGGCTTTCCTCCACCCACAGAACAATCCAGCCAATGAGAGACACATCTCAGCCAATGAAAAGCCACTATACTTCCAGTTCCCAGTTTACTCCAATGGACTTTTTTGTTTATAATAGCCTTCCCAATATCCCACTTTCCTCTATAAAAGGGCATTCCTCTCCTTCCTTCTGTGGACTTGCCAATGGTTTTGTCCTATTTGTCCTAGACTGCAATTCTCTGCAATTTATTCCTGAATAAATCCATTTTTTTGCTGATAAAATAACGGACAGTTTTATTTTTAAGATTAACACAACTTGGTGATCAGAAATGGGATCCAGTGAAGACCGTCAGCAACTCTGAGGCTGGTGAGATGATGGTACCTACAGAGCCAAGTGGATTTGCTGCTTTACTCACCAACGCTGGAAGGTAAGTTTTTCCCTGGATTTTGAGTGCCATGCTTTGTGTTCAAGCTCCCCAGGCTTCATTTGGGATCTGTTTTAGGGCCTTGAGTTTTTCTTGTTTGTTTTTAAATCTCTTGAGGTTACTTGTTTGGCCTTCGGTCTCTTTTTTTTTTTTGAAGATTTTATTTATTTATTTGACAGACACAGTGAGAGAGGGAACACAAGCAGGGGGAATGGGAGAGGGAGGAGCAGGCCTCCCGCCAAGCAGGGAGCCTGATGCGGGGCTCAATCCCAGGACCCCAGGATCATGACCTGAGCCGAAGGCAGACGCTTAACAACTGAGCCACCCAGGTGCCCCAGGTCTGACTCTTTTTAGGATTTGGACTGTTCCTGATAAAATTGTACTGGTCTTAGGCCCAACTCCTGTCTGGACCCAGACTCTGCCTACTGAAACTGTTGTAACCTTCAGTCTGACTCCTTTTTGGAACCAGACTGTTCCTGTTGAAATTGTGTTGTTTAGAAATTTTCTCTGCTCTAGGGAAAAGTCTCTATGAAATGGGAACCCAGTCATCAAAATGCTTGAAGGTGCCCCCCCACCCCCCGCCATTTCCTCTCCATCTTTCTGGGATTCTGGCTTGTTTTATGTTTAAAATCTATGGTCCCTATGCATCCACATTTATAACTAAATGGATTAACTTAGCCAAAAGTAATTCTGAACTTCAATGGCATTATGGGGAACTTTTAAATTCCCAAACTCGTCTTACTCAAATTTAAATTAGAAGGCTATAACCGGGGGCGCCTGGGTGGCTCAGTCGTTAAGCATCTGCCTTCAGCTCAGGTCATGATCCCAGGGTCCTGGGATCGAGCCCCACATCAGGCTCCCTGCTC